TGGCAGTCACTACCTGACAGAATTGATGAACGTCTTTTAAAATTAGTTACACAGCTGCACACAGCATTGGTTTCTTCAGCGGGAATTGAGAGAATTTTCTCTACTTATAGACTTGTTCATTCAAAACTTAAAAGTTGACTTGGACAGGAAAAGGCAGCAAAGCTTGTTAAAGTTTTCAAGCATCTAAACAAACACTACTGAACGTTGCACATTTCTGAAAATAAGAAATTGTTCAAAGTGAAGAAGCCACTGCTGTCAATCATGTTTTGGTTTCGTACATGCAAATCTTAAAAATGCCATTTCATAAAGAAACATTTAAAAAAAACTGTATTTTATATTAAATAAAACATTCTGTACATTCTTGAGTCTTACACTGAAGTTTTTCTTCTTTTTTTCCTATTATACTAGATCCCAGTGTCTTATTTCCAAAGAAAAACCGTGTTTTAAATGTTTTAAAACATTTGTTTTAAATCCGATGCCTGTGTTTTAAAACATGTTTTAATAACTGTTTTAAAACATTTTTTAAAAATTATGCCAACCCTGCATAAAATGATAACTGTATGAAAGTGGGTCTAAAAATATGTTCGATTTCGCGCAAAAACGCAAAAAACCGTATAGTGTACTCATGACAGTTGCTATCAGTTTATTGACATTCACTAGAATTATTAAGGACAATATTTTTTCTGGTTGTGATTTATTTCCTAGCTCTGTCTTACTTTTTCTTATCATACATAATATCTTTTTCATTTGCCACACTGCAATGCATGGAAAGCTCAGCAATGCTGTATGGCAAAATCATAATCAGCCTATTTTACTATTTTATAAAGATTATAAATTTTTTTAAAATTTCAAAAATCTCAAAGAATCATCTGATTTCTTTTCTTGAGAAAGTTCATATCATATGATCTGTATATTCCAGGACTGTGGAGTCGGAGTAGGAGTCGTGGAGTTTTGATGTTTTAGCCGGAGTCGGAGTCGGAGTCGTCAAAAACTCCTTCTTACTCCGACTCCGACTCCTTCTTACTTACCAACTTGTTATATATATATAACGGAATAGTATTGGAATCGTGTCAAATTTGACCCTCCATCTTTCTTTTGCAAATCTACACGTTTGGAGACCTCCCGAACCCCTCAAAAAAGTCAGTAAAGGGGAAAAGTTTGCCCGCGCGTGTGTGTTGAAATCTAATTTGTTTAATTTTTTTATTTTCTGTTCTGAGATATTAAACAATATCTCAGAATGGGTAAAGTTTAAGAAACGGAATGTGGCACTGTGACTCGCGTATAAAGGGGCATTAATACTATTAAATTTTGGTTCTTAATTAAAGGTCGACAGAGTGAAGACCTAAAAGTGGTCATGTATCATGTCTCTTAATAAATATTTTACTCGTTATTAGCGATCAAAATTTAAAAGAAATAAAATAAAACTCGTCTCTACCTTCAAAGTAAGCTTTTTAGCCATTTTATAATAGTACAGTAAAACCCGTTAAGATGTTCTCGCCTAAGATATTAGAATGTATGTGGGGACACAATTTAGTTCAACCACTTTAACGCTTAATAACTAACTCCTGTCTTAAACCATTCGACTCCGATTCTGACCACTCTGAATCTCTAACCACAGAAATTATTTGAGTCTATCTACACAGCCACCGGTGTAAACCGAGTATAACCCATTAAACTTAACGTAATAATAATAAGGGCAGAGCCCATACAGTTAGGAGTTGAAAATTTAAATTTGATACACAGTTAGGGTACGTCACGAGAATGCACACTAAGAAGGAATTTTTCGAAATTCCTCCCCGGGAGAGAGAGACAAGATGAAGGCTTAACACTTCCACAAACAATGAAAGCGTCAAGTAACAATAGAATTGTTAAGAGAAAGCGACGTGCAAGACGCAGATGCAGTTTTTTTTTTTTTTTTTTTCGTTTTAGCGGGAAATCGAACATATTTTTAGATCCATCTAAAAATTCTCTTATTAGTCCGGAAACAGGGGAACCCAATTCTTGCATTCTGTAAAAACGGGTAAGGTTGACTATAACTTATTAATCTTAATCTTCGCTATCGTTCCATATGCCCGAGCAACGCCGGGCCTACCTGTTAGTTAAATATTAATTTGTTCCACCTACGAATGGTGCATATTTAACGTCAAGTTAAACAGATCAATACTTTATTTGCATGATAATACTTTGAGATTCATTTAGAAATGAAATTTGCAAATGAGTTTGTGTAAACTAAATATTAATTTGTTCCACCTACGAATGGTGCATTTTTGACGTCAAGTTAAACAGATCAATAANTAATGATATTTTTTAATTCTAAAGAAATATTTCTAAATGAATCTCAAAGTATTATCATGCAAATAAATTATTGATCTGTTTAACTTGACGTCAAAAATGCACCATTCGTAGGTGGAACAAATTAATATTTAGTTTACACAAACTCATTTGCAAATTTCATATTTCTAAATGAATCTCAAAGTATTATCATGCAAATAAAATATTGATCTGTTTAACTTGACGTCAAAAATGCACGATTCGTAGGTGGGACAAATTAATATTTAACTATTACGTAGGCCCGGCGTTGCTCGGGCAAAAGTAACGATAACGAAGATTAAGATTAATAAGTTATAGTCAATCTTACCCATTTTTACAGAATGCAAGAATTGGGTTCTCCTGTTTCCGGACTAATAAGAGAATTTTTAGATGGATCTAAAAATATGTTCGATTACCAGCTAAAACGAAAAAACTGCATCTGCGTCTTGCACGTCGCTTTCTCTTAACAATTCCATTGTTACTTGACACTTCCATTGTTTATGAAAGTGTTAAGCCTTCATCCTGTCCCTCTCTCCCGGGGACGAATTTCGAAAAATTCCTTCTTAGTGTGCATTCTCGTGACGTACCCTAACTGTGTATCAAATTTCAATTTTCAATTCCTAACTGTATGGGCTCTGCGCTTATTATTATTATGTTAAGTTTAGTGGGTTATACTCGGTTTACACCGGTGGCTGTGTACTATGCCGGACCAGAGTCAAGGCATAGCAACAAAACAAAACTACAATTAAATAAGTGTGTCAGTGTCTATATTTAGGAATTTCCTAACAATGTGGCATGTATTCAATATAGTGGCCTTCTGTAATGTGATGTATATATTTATATTCAATTGTAAAGTTCCCAGGCTTTTGTGTAGTGTGTGTGGTATCACACTCGTACAAAAGAGAACGACAGATACAATAAGCATCCTATCCATTTTCCACAGATGCCTTATTTCCTGCGCGAGTTCTGTGCACTTGCTAAATTTTCAGTGCGTGTGTTTTGTATATTGTGGGTGTTTGTTTTGTTAGTGTGACCTGTTGGAATCCTAAATACTTGTAGAACTCGCCCTCTTCCATAGATTCAATAACGTCTCCGTTTCCAAGTGCAAAATCTTCTTTCTTCAGGATTCCTTTTTCTATGTGAAGTGTTTTGCATTTGTCTAAGCTAAACTCCATTTGTATCTCCTTACGGTATGAATGTGTGATTTGTAGGAGTTGATGAAATTGTTTTTGTGTGGATGCATAAAATTTTATGTCGTCCATGTACATGAGATGAGACAGCGTAAACTGTGTTGTTTTTTCATGTCTGATATTTTAACCATGTCGCGTGTTGTTTAACATGTTGGATAATGGGTTCAGGGCTAGGCAGAACCAGAGGATTCAAGGAATCTCCTTGAAAAATT